GAGCAGCTCACTGCTGTTCTTTTTTTTAACTCAAGGCCATGGTTGTGGAAATGTTTGCAAATGAAAAATATTATCTGAAAGTAAATATTGGAAAACATATTGCAAAGTTCTCTTCTGCAGCTATGGAACCTAAAAAGGACTTTTTGAGATGTGTATACACACAGAATATTTATTCTTGAATGGGTTCAGTAAGGAAACACATCTGAGTCCGGCTGAGTGTTTTTTATGTATGATTCTTAGAGGTTTTCTGGGGCACATTTATTTTCTAATCTTGTTGCTCGACTTAAGACTCTCATCGAGTCCCTGCACGGAAGGATCTAAATTACAAACACAAAGGACAGCAACGAGGCGAGCTTATGATTCAGGCCCAGGACAAGATATGGTGGCTAACCTCCAGTGACACGCGATGCCTTTGAACATTTTAGGTGACTATAATGTAGCACCCATTCAGAGGAGCTGGAGTCAGAAAGTCCACCGGGATCTGCTGTCTCGCCAAAGATGATAAATGCAGGCATCAGAAATCCCCAAGCAACAACAGCTCTAATCTGCTTTGGCTGGGAGTGTTGAGATGCATAACTAAGTGACTTTCTCACTTGAAGCTCATACAAAGAGATGTTTGCCAAAACAGTTTGTACTGTAGTCCTGGAAAGAGTCCCTGATAACAAACACTTTTAAACAAAGAAAGTCGGGATAAGAGTTTGAAGATTTTTCATTCTGTCATCCAGGGACTGCATTTTCACACCACGTATTTATTTTGATGCTGGTGGAGTATCCACTATTCTGGAGTAGTTTTTATATAAATTAATACTTTATAAAAATCATATTCAAAGCCCCTGTGAAATAGAGATTTAACAAGGGAGCGTGCTGATCGCAGAGCTGCACAGAGCCTGATTTGATAAGGCAATCTTGCAGGCTGATTGAGTTTGTGAGGCAATAAAGCTCCAGACATTTGAGTTTCAAACAGCAGATGTTTTGCCGTGAATACAGGAAGAGGAGTGCACTGGAAGATGACACGATAGTGATGGTTCATAAAGCACTCAAACCGTAGCAGACGGCAAATGTCCATTTCACTCGTGCATCCTGCAGTCACACTGAAGTCAAATCCTGTTTGGGATAAAAAAAAAAAAAAAAATCAGGACAGACGCCGTTGATGCTGAGGGAAACGTTTTATTTATTTATTTTTTCATATTTTGTAATTACTAATCAGGATAACATTTCAAAACTTGGGTTAAGCATCTAATCTCTGTGTACAACATGCCAAGCCTGGAAAACTCTTTTTACCAGAGGGGAGAGTGGATTAGTGAACCGTCAGTCATGTCATATTGATCTGACGTCAGCTGCCGTCCGTCACCACGACCACACTACGCCTCCTCGCTCCGAAATCGTCAAAATAAACGTTTACAACCTTGAGCGGCGATAAATGATTGGCGACGCTTTCCCTTATCATCCTCCAGACTGAATCAGCCGTGACCTTTGCCCGGAGCGGGCGTGTGCACGCATGAACAGAGGAGCCGTCAAACTGAGTCGTTCTCAGGCTTGTAAGCTGCACGTTGACAAAACACGATCCCACTTCTGCGTCTGGCCTTTAGCAGCAGATTATCTGTACTCAGCAATGCCCTGAGATCAGTTTAGTCACTTTCTACAGTTGTAAAAAAAAAAAAAAAATGGAATCACTAACTTTCTTTGATCGTGGCAGTGCAAAAGCTAAGAGCTGTGCATATCTGTGACATAACTCAAGGCTTTTTTTTTTTACGATTTAATGGCGAATTTAATCTACAGCACCTTCCAATTTGTTTGCTTTATAGCTGTATGGACACAAGGGAAATATAAAGCAGGGATAAACACTGGCCGGTGCCGGGCTGCTTTGGTGAGGAGGATGGTGTTACTTACCACCGCTCTTAAATCAGACATATAGGCACACAGAGCCCACCAATTAGCATTAGAGCGAGGAACGGGGGAGACAGTGATTAAAATGGCCCTCACACTCCTCCCTCATCTGCTTAAACCACCTGCAGTTGTTCTTCTTACAAGCCCATATGAAAAATAAATCTGGGCTTCAGGTCACAATCTGGTCGATTCCGAGTCAATCTTTCATAATTGGTTGGCGTCAAATGGCGGCAGAGCTGAAATCTATTGGACGCTGGTGCTGGAGGAGCACTAATTGGTGCCAGCTAAGGTTTCAGCAGCAGCAGCAGCACAGATACACAGGTCAGCTGATGGAGGACTTTTAAAGTGTTCAGCCAATGGATCTGCATCTTCATCTGAGAGAGAGTGCACAGAGGTGTGAGCCGTGGTCTTCCACATCCTCAGTTTGAAAACGTTAGTTTCTTTGATTTAATTTAAATATTATCATTTAATTGAGCTGCAGATGTTTGTCTCCTAATTGGCATTCAGGTACGTTATATAATTGAACTTTGATTTTCAATTCAAATTCGTCAAAAGTACGTCTGGAAATTTAGACCCTCACACACTGACAAGGTGTCAAAAAGCATTCAAATGTAAAAAATCATGACAGAATGAAGAAAGCTGCCAAAAAAAAATAACAATAGTTTATAGTAAACATATAAACATCTAAAATCGCAGGTCTTGGGGTTAGTACGGTGTGTGTTTCTGTTCCTGCCGTTCACCAGATTTATTAAAAATGTAAATGAACCTGGTTTGTTCGTGCAGTAAATATTGGGTAGAAATGAGTCATTGGTGAGATGTTGACATTTTTCTGACTCTCACTCCCTCCAAATCGTTAGCATTCACTGTAGCAGGAAGAAAACAGTCCCATTGTGTCAGTGACTAAGTGGCAGCACAGACACGTCAGCAGGAGCCTTTGTTTTTCACAATTTACACTCATTTGGAATTAAAAATACCAACGTGGTTAAGAAAGTCATTCAAAACACTGACACTGACATCAGCTCTGCTGCTGCACCGTGTTCTTCCTGCACCGTCTCCACTTGCCCTTTGACCTCTGCTCTCCGTAGGATAGAGTAATTAAATGCTGATTTTTCTTGTAGACTTTCTGCAGGATTAAATATTTAATCATCTGTCCAATCACTGGAAAGAGCCCTGGACCTGGGACACACCCACCAGGAGCAAAAGGAGGGTTCACCAATGAGCCTGCAAGCACCTTATGATAAACTATGGGGTTAAAGTGCATATGCTGTAACATACGGGGGCACTTAATCACCCGCCACCGACCGCGGGGAAGGATTGATCATCTCCAGGGCTGTTTGTTCTGCCACCACCACAGTCGAAGAAGCCAATACACTGCACATACATTACACAAAGATTTTCCTCTGACTTGTTGTTCCAATAATGTGGTTATAAAAAGGGGTTGGCTGCAGCATCCAGGCGGCCTTTTACTGTGGAGATGGATGAGGTTTGTCCACAGTAATTGAAAGAATAGGTTGAAACACAGTGGAATCAGTTTGAATAAAAACAGTAGAGGAAGACGAAGAGCGCAGTATATATACGTACGCGTAAAATGTCCGCAAAGGCAGTGACGAATGTCGACGACTATTTAACAGCAACAGGCGCCTTGTGTCGCAGGGAGGTGGGTTTGTAGGCAGGTCAACAGTTCAATCCCAGGTCCTAGTACTTTGGTTTGTTCCCAGATTCCAAAAACAAGCAGGATGAACTTAGTGTAAATACTGCATATATATATATATATGTATATATATATATATGTTTGTATATATGTATATATATCTGTAAAAGAGCATGTCATAGGGTCTGATTTTTTTTTTTTTTTCCTCCTCCGTCTGTGAGGATAACTTGTTGTCTTTTGAAAACGAACCACCCGTCCCCAAACACAGCTGGCAATTCTCCGTGGCAGCTGTAAACAGACTCTTTGTCACTCGGTGACTCTGTAGATTTAACAGGTGTATGCAAGATGCATACTAACATGGGCGTCTATAAGACAGTCAGTCTGCGCCTGCAGCTAAGTTGCGGGCCGACAGACAGAGTCATCTTTGTCAGAGGCACAGAGGGCTGCAGTTTTGATCTCACTAAATACAGGACCTGGACCGAGAGGAAATTGGAAAGAGCAGTTCATCTGATCCCTTTGTGAAGAATGAAAAGATGATTGCTGATTTCTCTTGTACTCATTTTTTTTGTCTTTGTCTTGCTTCAATAGATTTAAATGATGTGATTTTAAATTAAAATTTATAAGTAACATTTCTTACGGTTTTTGATTGTTTAACAGCGGTGTTAAAACATTATTTTAGATGAAAAAGACTCGGGTTCAAGGCCACACCAACAGCTCCAGGCTGTGTTTTTTGAGCCTGAGTATTACATTAGAAAAAAGTAGTTTTTTTTACATGTATTTGTACGAGTGTAAATATTTGTCTTATTTTTGTATTTATAAAAAATCAATATTTCTTTCAATCTAGTCTTGTGTTTTAGCATTGCTTATACACAATAAAAAAATAATATTTACACTCTTTTCATGTGAATTACCCAAATTCCAGACATTGCCAGCGTGAACGGCACCGTGCCACGAGCCTTCTGGAATCTGTAACGTTCGTTTTCGCTCTGTGTTTGCAGCGCGTACCAGGTGGTGGTGGAGGAGGAACGTCCACGCAGAGCAAGAGGCACGGCTGAAATCCTGCGCTGCTATCCAGTTCCTATCCACTTCCAAAACGCCACACTCTTAAATTCCCAGTACTACTTCACTGCTCAGTTTCCAGCAGCCGGCATCCACTCCCCTCAGCCGTTCACCGTAGGAGACAACAAGACCTACAACGGCTACTGGAACGCCCCGCTGCTGCCCCAGAAGAGCTACAGCATCTACTACCAGGCTGTCAGCACAGCCAATGGGGTGAGTGGTTCAGGTCTCCTTATATATTGTCATACTTAAATATACTGCTGTTGGTTTTTTTTTCTGTGTCCTCCTTAGACAAATCAAAAACTTAAACTTTCAAAAATTGACTATTTTTTTGAAACCCAGACATAAATGGTCAAACACAATAATTGAGTTTAATGTATTTAAATCAGGTAACAACATGTTAGGTTAAGCAAAGGCTCAGTGAACCAGAGGTTTGGATGAACAGGAAATCAGTTTGTAGCGTCAGCACACTGCTGATCCTCAGGAGCGAGGCCCTGCGGCAGGGTGACGCTCGGAATGAGCCACACTCACTGACACGTTCTTCCCTCCACGCTCATGACCCCACTGTCCTGCCGCTCCTCTGGTGCTTTGTGCCAAATGTCAGACAGCCCTTGATCAACGTAATTTAAGAGAGGGATTCATCCGTGCGGCAGCAACAGGGTTACCGACGGCGCAGGTTGCAGCCTCTGTCATCAAGTGGTGCTCTGCAGGGCCCGTCCTCCTCAGAGCTTATTTTAGATGAAAAAGACTCGGGTTCAAGGCCACACCAACAGCTCCAGGCTGTGTTTTTTGAGCCTGAGTATTACATTAGAAAAAAGTAGTTTTTTTTACATGTATTTGTACGAGTGTAAATATTTGTCTTATTTTTGTATTTATAAAAAAATCAATATTTTTTTCAATCTAGTCTTGTGTTTTAGCATTGCTTATACACAATAAAAAAATAATATTTACACTCTTTTCATGTGAATTACCCAAATTCCAGACATTGCCAGCGTGAACGGCACCGTGCCACGAGCCTTCTGGAATCTGTAACGTTCGTTTTCGCTCTGTGTTTGCAGCGCGTACCAGGTGGTGGTGGAGGAGGAACGTCCACGCAGAGCAAGAGGCACGGCTGAAATCCTGCGCTGCTATCCAGTTCCTATCCACTTCCAAAACGCCACACTCTTAAATTCCCAGTACTACTTCACTGCTCAGTTTCCAGCAGCCGGCATCCACTCCCCTCAGCCGTTCACCGTAGGAGACAACAAGACCTACAACGGCTACTGGAACGCCCCGCTGCTGCCCCAGAAGAGCTACAGCATCTACTACCAGGCTGTCAGCACAGCCAATGGGGTGAGTGGTTCAGGTCTCCTTATATATTGTCATACTTAAATATACTGCTGTTGGTTTTTTTTTTCTGTGTCCTCCTTAGACAAATCAAAAACTTAAACTTTCAAAAATTGACTATTTTTTTGAAACCCAGACATAAATGGTCAAACACAATAATTGAGTTTAATGTATTTAAATCAGGTAACAACATGTTACCAGGTTAAGCAAAGGCTCGGTGAACCAGAGGTTTGGAGACAGTTCGATGAACAGGAAATCAGTTACAAAGGCTCAGTGAACCAGAGGTTTGGAGACAATTCGATGAACAGGAAATCAGTTTGTAGCGTCAGCACACTGCTGATCCTCAGGAGCGAGGCCCTGCGGCAGGGTGACGCTCGGAATGAGCCACACTCACTGACACGTTCTTCCCTCCACGCTCATGACCCCACTGTCCTGCCGCTCCTCTGGTGCTTTGTGCCAAATGTCAGACAGCCCTTGATCAACGTAATTTAAGAGAGGGATTCATCCGTGCGGCAGCAACAGGGTTACCGACGGCGCAGGTTGCAGCCTCTGTCATCAAGTGGTGCTCTGCAGGGCCCGTCCTCCTCAGAGCCGCGGCCGATGACTCAGTGGCGGCTTCAAGAGGCCCATGAATGAAACATCAGTACATTTCAAACACAAACAGAACTAACTTGTAAGGAAGGGCTGAGAGTAATTAGCGCGTTTGCTCTCGAGAGCAAAACATTAGAGGTCGAAAACTTTTCTTTCTTTCAGAGCAAAATGTACGAAATGGTACGTAATGCTCTTCCTTGAAGAGCAAAGTGAAGGATTCCCTCGGCGATGCATCAGAGAACATTTTTCTTCCGTGTTATATTCAGCACGGCCGTGGCCTGATGTGATGTTCTCTTTCATCAAACCGTCACTGTCACTGAAGAGAACTGCAGGCTTTAATTAATGTCTAATGATGTAAGAGTGATTTGTTTGGACCACGTTTCAACAAAATTAGCCTTGAGAAAATATGAGTGCAATTCAAACTTCTTTTTTTTTTAAACATTTTTTTAATGGTCTTTTTAAGAAGAGGAGATGTGTGTTTTGTGAAGGCTGCTGTGATGGCACAGCACATCCATCCAGGATTTCATCAATGCTGATGATGTTTTTTTCCTCCATTCTTCTCTTTATCATTTCAAACTCTCTCGTCCTACTCGGAGCTCATTGGACAGCTCGGCTGGGTCAAACAAAGAGACAGAACTCTCGTGTGCTTTGTGTTGTATTTCTCATGGGCTTCTTGTCCTTGTCTGTGTTTTTATTCCCTTTTTTGCTCAACTGCAGTTGAAAAGAAACTTTTTCTGCCAGCAGTGAGACAGGAGTTTGTTTTTGGGTTGGTTTTTTTTTTGTGTGCATGTTTTTGTTGAAGTCTGTTGTCAGAGCTGAAACTCCCATTACATATTCAGAAAAGCCCCCTGATGTGTCATTTTGAAGCCCGGCATTCTGAGTCGGTGTCACTTGCCACAGAGCGTTGGTTTCTCCACAGTGGCTGACCACCTAGAGCTGCAGGCTGCTGACAGATCGCTGTTGGCTGACAAATAAGGAGCTGTGCACCACTAATCTGTACTGTGGGCCCTCTCGCCTTACTGTGTTTTGTGTCACAGTCATTGAACTCGGCAGATGACAGGCGACAGCCGGGAACAGGTTGAGCTATTGTTGTATCTCGCAGGTTCTTGGAAAGCTTGTCTTCCTGTCCTAAGTGTGTCTTCACATGTAACGTATGATCATGTGTTTTTACCAAATGATCCCTGCTCTGATTTCTTTCTCCCTCTCCATCCGACTCCTCCAACCCCTACCCCTAACCTCACCCCTCACATTTCTTGCACAGGAAACCAAAATTGACTGTGTTCGAGTGGCTACCAAAGGTAAGACTGGAGCAGGTGTTTGAATGTTGAAATGGCTACCAAAGGTAAGACTGGAGCAGGTCTTTGAATGTTGAAATGTTTGCACCGTTTGTTTCTTGCTTGTGATTTTTATAAACCAAATATTGTTGAAGAAAATTGAATGAACACTTAAGTTTACTAACTATCTGAAGCCCTGGTTTATGCTATGTTTGGCACGGTCATTAGCGTTCATTTCCGGGCTGACTTTTTCAGACAAGAGAACACTAATTTCTTGCTGTTGCTATACTGTGCAGCGACGCCTCCCCATGATTTCCACTGGTACTGCTACATTTCCCAGTCAGTTCAGATTGAGAGCTAAGAGTTGAGCATCAACTAAACGTCCTTCCCAGTTAATCACATGAATCACATTAGGCCCATCCTAGTTTCCTACAATATCTGATCCTCCCTTCAGTGTGGTCCACAGATTGGACAACAACATGTGTTTGTCCCTGACTCCTGACCACAGCTGCTGTGCTCACCGAGGCCTGTGGCTACTCAGCCATGCTGCCTGTGAGTCGTGCTCCTCACATTAGTAATAATGAAGTCTGGTCTAAGTACCATTGATCCAGGAACAAAATTGATAAGACCAGAGGGAGTCGTAGTCACACTCCGCTCCGAGCCAAGGAAGTTCTCGTCACACGGTCTGACAGTCTTGTGTATCGTAGGTCGGGCGTTCAGAGTGCATCACTCGTGGAGTTTCAGATGCTCCGTCTCAGTCCCTGTGGTTCAATAGGCTGCAGTCAAATGGCGTCTAGTTACAGGAGAAAAATGATGCCATCGAATGTGTGAGCACAGATGGTTTTAATGTTCCTTCTCCAGAGTCATGCTGTGGTCATTCCACTCTCGCTCTTTCTCTCCTTCTTACAGTCTGTTGCAAAAGTCCTAAGCAGCTCCATACATTAATTATACACCTCACTATTTTTTCAAAAGCTTTTGTTTTTCAATTATGTGAGTGACTTGAACCACAGGTGAGAGTCGCGGCTGCCAATGGTCACGTCTACGTTTGCAGGACAGCTAAGATCAGGAAGGTCAGAGCGACAGAGCCACGAGGAAGCTCCTCCTTGACAAGTCGCTAACCCTAACTCTATATAGATACACACACACACACACATATATATATATATATATTAATAATCACATGGACTTGAACATGTATTTGCCATTAACAACAAACTTCTTTAGATTTTTTAAATAACTCAATGAATTTTCAAGGTGAAGAAAGTCTCTTCATACACTTGGCGTTTTTTTTTTTCTTGGCATTAATGTGAATATGAATGTTTGTTCAATAATGATGCATGAATTGTTGAAGTGTTTGTGTCACTAAACAACTTCAGTGTGGCCTCTCTCTCTCTTCCCCCCCCTCTCTCTCTCTCTGCATGCCTCCCTGGACTCACCTCTACTCAGCCGCCATACTCGTGACTCAACTTACAACTCCCTACGTTCGCATCGTGCCAGCGGCCGGTGACAACCAACTAACAGGTCAGACTCAGAGCTCACTCTCTGACCAGTGTTTCATTGTGGCAGCCAAACTGTCAACAGGAAAACAAACACGTGGAATAACACGTGAGTGTGGAGGCTTTTGTTTGCTGTTCTGCAGCCAGACTTCATCAGAGACTCACAGACAGGGTCTCCTGCGTACCTTCATCTTCCCAGTACTAATGGGCCGAGAAGATCTGTGTGATGAGTCAGTGTGGGATGTCTGTGTCAAATCCCTTTTCATCAATATTTCTCATTACTTGTAGTAAATTCAGTGTTTTGTGTTTGGTGGCTGATTGACACCGAGGGCCGGCAGTAGAACTCTGGTCTGGTCACCTGAGCAGAAACATCCTTCCTCAGCAGCCGAGGGATGTCTTTCTCACCGGGTCACATCCTGCACGGTCTAGTGACTGAAATTGAGTTCATTTGAAATGTTTTTGATGTGAGTTTTGGGCTGAAGAAAAAACCATGTGGGTGAGATCAACACATTCTGCAAAGATTCAATAATTTTAACAGGTTTCCTTTTAAGTTTCTCTGGTTTCAAATCTGTTTAATATCTGAGGTCTTTAAAGCCTGATAAAATAAAGCGTTAAACAGCTCAACATTTGTCAAATATATAAAATAGAAAAATAAAAAAGTCAAATCTGTTTGAAAGACCTGAAAAATGATCTTAATATATTTTATTTATTCAAAATATCATGTCTTTTGATCTGTCTGAGAACTTTGGGCTTACGTCATAAAAGTGACAGATTAATTTATCACCAGTCCAAAAGAAAAGCTCCAAACAAAGGAGAAGCTGCTGATAACAATATACAAGAACAAAAACATGTCACAACCAGCAGTCTGGGACGGATGCTTAATTCTCCTGATAGTGGGATAGAAGATGCTGATGTTCAAGAGTGAAGGAAGTCTGTTCAAGGAGATTTGGCCGACACAACAATTTATCATTCCAAATGAGCCTGTGTTGACGAGGAGCGCTGTGTTCAGGTGGACAGTTCTGCTTCTTATCACTTTCCAGGGAGCTGCAGATCCTCTCGAGCTGCCCCCCCGCCCCCCGCCCCCTATCTTTGATTAAGTCATCGTTGGCTTTCTTCGCCTGAGCAGATACTAAATGTTTTGGTTATTTCAGGCTTCTTTATCATCATGAGTATCGCTTTGCAAATTTGCATCCTGCATTTTTCTTGAACCCGACAACCGTTCGTCCCAAACGTGATTAGCCGAGGGTGAAGACGGTGCACACTCACCGCTCCCTGTGCAGTTTGATTCATTAGCTGCTCATTTCTGCACGGACGCCGACGTGAAGGTGGACAATGGGGAGCCCGATACTTCAAACACAAACACTACACCCGGCCAATAAATGTGCATTGATATTAAGGGGCTGCAGAATGTCAGTGAATTGATCAGTCAACCTCGGTCCTCCACGCAGACCAATCCATACCAGAAATACTGAAAATACAGACTTGTTCTCTGCCATTTATTTCAGACACAACAATAGCACATTGCTCATTAGGCTAACCCTACACCTTGTCGTTTGATCTCTGTGTCATGTGATTTATTTCAGGTTCGGCCACTCACAAACCTGATGCCGTGGAGCCAGAGAAACAAACAGACCACACGGTGAAGATTGCAGGCGTCATCGCGGGCATCCTCCTCTTTGTCATCATATTTTTAGGAGTTATTCTGCTCATGAAGAAAAGGTAGGTATTTGTATATTTTCTGGCAATGCAGAAAGAAAAAAAACATGAATTTAATTGTCGAGTTCCCACAAACCCCCAGCTTCTCCTTTCTCATTTTGTATATTCCTCCCCTCAAACACTTCTATTGTCAACATCCTGGTAAATAATTAATTAGATTATGTTGATATGCCCCATTAAGGCTGTTTACAGCAGTGAGATACTGTGTGCCATGAAAAATTAATCCCCCTTTGCAGCTCTCTCAAACAAATGCACAGCACTTCAATGGCATGGGAGTGGGAACAGAGGAGTAGTTCTAGACGCTTGTGGTGTGGACTGAAGCAGGTCGGAGATGACAAGGAGAAGTTGATGAAAAGGCTGAAAAAGAGTTTTAGCTCAGGACCCCGTATTATAGAATTAGTCCTTTGAAACAATGAGAGGAGCTGAGAGTTGTGTTTTAAAACAATTATCTGTTTATAAAGTCAGTGATCCGTAGTGTAACTGCCTACTGTTCACAGTACAGTCAGAATGTGTGCAGATGGTTGTGGGATTAATACCCTCTAACTTCTAGGGTGGATTGCATAAGAAAAATCATTTTTCACAAAACTGAGCCAGAAGTGAATCAGGGAGTGAACAGACAAAACCTGCAACCAGACTGTGTTAATGTGTCAATAACCTTGATTTCTTTAAATGAATCCAAATGTAATGAATTCATTAATTAGAGTCAGAGTTCATCATAAAAATAATTGTATTATTTTGTAACCAATAGACTTGAGTAAAGTCAAGTCATTTGTTAGAGACCGTTCCGTTGCGGCTGTCGTCGCATCAGAATTCTAAAACAATAATTCAGTCCCGTATTGTGCAGAGCTTTTCATAATGAACAACAGTATTTTTTAAATTCCAAAACCCTGGAACAAAAACCTTGAGTTTAAAACTTTGTTTAAAAGTGTTAAACTGTGGTCCTTGTTTTTAAGTTCTAATCTTGATTCAAATGTCAGTGGTCAGCAGAGATGATGAAGTCGATTCGGCTCAGTGTGGTGACACAGTTCTGCACTAATGAAACCGACGTATCAGATGTTTATTTTTGACACCGAGTCCTCAGCCTGGCGGTGGAGCTCAGTGAGCAGTGGGTGGATGTGAGGACCAGCTCGCACTAATAGAATTGTTGTCAATTAGCTTTAATCAAAGCAGAGGTGGAGAAGACTTCATTGATTGAATTCTTTGTAATTCACCGTCACCCAAAGGAAATGGAATTTGTGCTCAAACATCCAATCCATTCATTAGGCGTAAACCTCGGAGGTCAGATACTTTTCATAGGTGCTTAAATTACATATTCATGCAAAAAGTTCTTTTAGCAACAGCCTGGTTGTTTTTTATTTCACCTTAAGTGCAGAGTAGGAAAAAAAAAAAAAAAGGAAAGAAAAATCCGTTTAACTACCCCCACTGCAGCTAGAGCCCCGTTCGCAACACATGACATGACTCCAGTCGATCACCTTTGCCCTCACGATCACGAGTTTACCTCCACGTATGCCACCATATCCGATTTTGTTCATTTCGACTCTTTTTTCAAACATTAATCTTTACTTTTTCTTTCCTTTTCATTCCATCCCCTCCCCTCCTCCACTGCTTAAATCCTACCACCACCCCACTCGGCAGAAGAACCTATCACTCCTACACTTACTACCTGTAAGTAACCACTTTGTGTAATGTTAGTGCCATGCCTCTCACACTCACACTGTTTCCCATGCATGCAAAGAGCCATGTCATCCTTCACCGGCCCAGAGCTCTTACCGAAGTCCAGGCGTGATCTCTGCAGGGGTCACGGAGGACGCCGCTCCAGTTTAACAGCATCACACTTAATGTCAGGCTGGCAACGCTTGTGAGAAAAGCTCCTCCGCGGCAACAGCTCATGATACGAAAACATGCCACTGACACCATATTACAACCATATTTCAGCACGACCTGTAAGAGGTTTGTTCATCACACGATGAACCAAACTGCAATAAAACTGTGTGACTGCCAAAGTCGTCAGGTGTAAAGGGACGGGGGCAGCTCTGCAGTCTTAGTGTAAAATGTTTATAAAAAAAAATCTGATTTTGTAAATTCCCAAAATGTGGTGGACAGCATGTGCATCTTAAGGAGTTAACTTCTCTAATGTGTGAGTTCTAACTGGCCTCAGTAATCTGGCTTCAAGTGCATGAAACATTTGAAAGTCTCACTTCACTGCCGTTCCATCCTAACACCATGTTACCAAACATCTTCACCCTCATGGTTTTATTGGCTTTTTCGATGCATGTTTTTGTTTTATTTTGTATTTTTTCGGTTAATGCACGGCCATCCCACTGATTCTACGGTGACGGTGGAGTTGTGTCTTTAGCCGCCAAAATGCCTGCACTAAGGACTGAGTAACGGACGTGATCCAGCTCCGATAGCATTTCTCTAACACCATAAAACAAAACCCACAACATCGCTTGAGTTTCTGTTAATATAACAGATGCTTCTGCATCGCATGTCTGAATGGTAAAGAAGCTTATTAAGCAGCTCTGCCTTCTCTGCCGTAACCGGCTTGGCTTCCTCCGTACAGTCTGTTTGACGGATGCCAACGAATCTGTCCTGGAGTTGGCCGCGATCAAGAAGAGAATGGAGGCTGCCTTGAATCAAAGAACATCTCAGAATACACCTGTGTGTGTGTGTGTGTGTGTCACTCAGTAGATCACAGCTGCCATGAATGGAGAGGCACTGATTTACAGCAGCGTGTGTGAACACACACACATTGGCTACGCAAAGCTGAAAGATACGTTATTGACAAGCCGTGTTTGTTATTTTAATGTACGTGTGGGCGAGTGCACTGCTCTGGTCTGATGCCATTGTAGTCAGCGGTACTGATGCGGTGGCAACGCTACGCCGTCTCTGAAGACAAAAATAGAAAAGTTGACAGCTAATTTGGAAGATTAGATGAGGCTTAAAAATCTTGGACAGGATATTGCGTACACCAGTGTAGAATATTAAATATTTCTATTTTATTTTAAATACTTATTTTTGATTTTGAACACCTCTGATGACGGGGGGGGAGGCTAAATCTTTCAGTGCCAAGAGAACACCTTAAGAAATGCAGAGATTGAACCAGTGGTTAGTTAATGGTGCCCGAGTGGGAATGTTCTGGGGCAGCAGTAAAAACTAATAGTTTAAAAGCATTTTTACAGTCGTGAGACAAGTGAACAGTTCAGTAACTCCGTCAAAACTTTTTTTAAATGAGCACAAATTCTACATTTAGTGTCGTATTTTAGAGGCTAGTATCTGCTAGTATTTCTAGTGAAAAAGTGATTCTCTTCTCTGTCTCGATTGTGCAGTTTTCACCTCATAACATTTGCTGGAGAACGTGTTTGTCTGGACCAACAACATTTAGCCTCCATCAAGTCAGAGACGACGTCGTTCCACTTTATTAAAGCAGTGCATCTGAATAATAGGTTTAAAAAACATTGGAAGTTGTTGCAGGTCAATTTGTTTTCATCGTTTCATCTCCATTTCAGGTGGAGAAGTGAGGGACACACCAGGTTGTTTCTTTTTAAGATGAAAACGACTTATTATCAACTCACTAAAGGGAAAGACAGTTTATTTTTTTCCCACATAGATGTTTAATCCTCACACACTCCTGTGCTGCTACATCATCGTTAATCCTCACACACTCCCCTGCTGCTACATCATCGCTGTGTAAACTTAGCTCCCAAGCAGATCGGACTGATACTCATACACACACATATATATGTTTTTTTTTTACATCACATAATTATAGACCATGTTCTCCCGAATCTCTTCGTCAAGTGTTCATCAGGCACCTCTGATGACAGCTTTGTTGCCAGCCGTTGGATTACAGCACCTCTGTGATTGATGAGTCCCATTAAAGCACTCATGCATTCATCAAAGTCTTTTTAAAGACGCAGGAACTTCCTGCAGTCGCCAAAATATGCACTTTAGGTGTGTAGCCAAAAGGGGAGGCGGGGGCTAGCACGAGCTACGACATCAATCAGAGCGCTCATTAGGGATGCGGTTACATGTGGGATCAAATATATGACCATTCTTTTTAATTAGGTGGCTGCACTGCCTGCCGCTGCTGGGGTCAAGGGAGGGATCAATTGGTAAAGGGTAATGCGTTCCAATTGGTCTTTTATTCCAATATGCATGGGAGTCTTCAGCCATCCATCCATGAGCCGACAGCCATGCTGAGCAGCACCGCACTTATTTTTCCTATATATGTCACTTTTGTGATGGAACAGAGGATATATTTCTTTTATTTTTTTTATGCAAAGAAATATATTGTCAACGATGTAATGTAAGAATTTAAAAGAACTAACACTGATGGAATATTTTTTCAGAAATCTGAAATATTTATTCCTCTGTGTTTTTCATGTTGTAGAGCCATGTTGAGCTTTTTGTCCGCCAATTACTTGCACCGCCATTAACTTTGCATGATTCTCTCATCCTTGATAATAGAATAATTCATACATTTATATTAATTATGTATTGTTTTTATGTTGTAACATGTGACGATGATGAAGATGCCCAGTGTGAGTTCTCTAAGATGAGTCTAAGATGAGGATTGTTTTTAATTCACAAACGGAAACCCCAACAGGGAAGTGTGGGCATCTGTGGTCATCTTTCAAAACAATACTTTTTTTTTTAGCAAACACTAACAGGGAACAAGCCGAACCTCCACTACAGCTGCAGATCCATGTTTTGACTTTTAAGGCGTAAGGCTTTATTACCGTCTCAGTCTGGTGCTTTTTAATGAATGTTCTTCTCAAAAATCCCTGTGACCCTTTAAAGGCCAGACATTTTCCTAAAGACTTAAGTAGAGAAGTAGAGAACAACTGTATGAAAACTTGAAATACATTTTTTTATAATTTATTATATATAAGAAAAAACAGCCACAGTGCAACACTAGCTGCCAACCAGGTTTCTGTTTCCCATGCCTGGACGTTGCATCAGCAGTGTCCAGTGTCAGTGTCCAGTGTCCAGCGCGTCACTGCCATGTCATTACTGCTAGCATCCGCTGACATCTGCAGACAGTGACGAGCCACAGTGTGGCATGTGCCTCATGTGGGTTTTTCACTATTTGAAATTTGACTTAGATCCAGAATCAGTGCCTTCATTTCTGTGAAATACAGTCATCGAAGCTAAACACAAATACAGGCCATACAGAAAGCGGGGTTTCGGGCCACATGTGTGATTTAGTCTGCAAAGTTTTTGTGCTTAAAATGTGAACCAACTAAAGTAGTTATTTTAAAACCATGTTCCACTGTTGGAGTCATGCTCAGAAAATAATAACTGTAAACATCTTCAGCCTAAAGATTTGTTATATTTAGTCAAATGTTGCATATTATTTTATAGACATTTTAAAAGTAACTGTTAAAAAGTGGAGACAAAGATTTGCCAGACAGCGATAAATCCAGTCTATAAAAGAAAATGACGTCAATCGCTGTGTATGCGCCAGATGTTTTGTTGTTTTAGCTCATAAAAATCCAATTTTCCCACACCGCCGAGGAGTGACATGTTCTATTTCCATCTGACAGCTGGTCACTTATATCATGTAAATCCCTTTAGGTATGAAGAGTGAATAGATTTTATTGAGTTGCCCTGTGGGCAAACACAGCTCCGGCTACATGTCTGTCACTCTGCAGCGTCGCAGCCATAATAGAAAATTAGAGAAATAAAAAAACCACATGTTATCAATGATGTAGCTCCGATGAAACATGGACGTCGGGGCAAACACCTTGATTAACAGACGACATCATGATCGGTACAAACCTGCAGATCTTTACAATAATGAGCCGCGCATGTTGGACAGTAACAGCAGACATGGAGCTGATCTGCACCGACAGCTGAAGTGATGAAGTGAAGTGATGATAGTCACGTGTTGTGATGTACAGTTTTAAGTGTTGCCATGTTGACGACCTCTTCTTTATATCAACGGTAGCAGGGGATTCTGTCGAGAGAGGATCATGCACAGTAAAGCTGTAGGAGAATATGTGTTATATAAAAATAATTACCGTGGCTGCACGGGGGTCAGACGGTTAGTTCTCTTACCTTACAGCAATAAGATAACGTGTTCGAGTCTCTGTGGTTGTCGATGGAGTTTTCGTGTTCTCTCTGTGTGTGCGTTGGTGCAAAAAACACGCTGGATAAACTGATGATTTGGGAACTAACTGACCGTTCATTGTCTTCATCCATTTCTGCCTCAGACTCAGAGACAGAAACAACAATTTAAAAAGCATTACAAAGCAGAACTTTGGATTTTGTTTTATTACGACAAAGTGTTCCAAACCCCAATAGATAAAACACAATACATGGAACTGTTTGGTTGTTGAATTTTCTTTGAAAACAAAAAAGAACATAAAAAAGTCATCTTGTGTCTCTCTCAGTTTACAAACACTCCTCCCAAACCTCCCTGTGTTACCGCTCTGTTTATTTAACCAGTCTTTTTTCTGTTTTTTCCGTTTGTCGTTCAAAGTAAATGCTGTCATTGTCTGCACTGAAACACGCTGCGTCGCAGAAACAAAGAAGCCTCCATCTCTGCAGATGAACCATACGGAAAATAGAGTTGGAATTGAGAGTTTTAGTTTCTGCAGTTTCGGCCTCAAAATTCAGATGAAATAATGCACTCACAATTTAGTGCCGTTAGTATTTGATGGACAAACACCTTCCTGTTGTAGAAAGGGTGAAGTTTTAAATGAGACAGTGTGCAACCAACCACTGGGTTAATCAAAGATGCTTCTGTTGCCCCTCCCAGCTGGGTGTCAGTCAATTAACACACGCACACACGCGCAGCCGTACAACCGGATGTGTGTGTGTGGATCCACTAATGAAGGCTTCTTTGTCCCAGTGTCACATGGTTCGGGCTTCTCCAGTGCTGAGACGAGGCCCACCACGCTGAGCGTGTGGTTTTGAAGCTCTTGTTTTAGAAGCTACAGCAGCGTCACCTCCCACTGAACAGACATTCTGGCAAACAGGCACAGAAACACCGTCTGAGCAACTTCCTTTTTTGTTCTAGCTCAAATCATGGAGTTTGGAGCGCCGCTCGCTTAGATCCTACGTACAGCCGGCTTGTCGTGTGCTGAACTGCAAACAATCCCTCTAATGAGAGTTGCCTGTTATAGTTACCTGGCATGTTTGCTCGGTTTTAGATCTGCCGACACCTCTGTCATCCGTCTTGTCCTTTTAACGTTTGCCGCCGCTCCGAGGATCTTTGTAGGTTATTTGCGAGGCGTCCCTGCGAGCAATCAATTACTGCAGATGTTTGGTTTGGATTTTAACACATGCTAGTGCATCTTTTAAGCTAAGCTATGGCGGGATGTGATAAATAGTCGCATTTATCAATTGACACAAACACACCAGCACCCACTTCCTTGTGTTATCTCTCCCGGCTCATCAGTCACAGTAATATAGTCGTCTATCATTACATTTTCCCTTCTTACAAATGAGGAGATAAAAGTGTGCCAATTAATCTTCATCTAACCCCCACCATGCCAAAGCTGCCGGCCCACTATACTGTTGGAGCTCTGCTCATCTTCAAGCCGCTGTCTGTGGTTTCCTCCTTCAGCAGCGTTCCCGATTTCAATGATACACAAGATCCCAGTTGGTGATAAAGTACGAAACCTGGAATATTTGTCCTGTGTATCTCAATCCAAATGAATCAGTCTGAGTATTTTCTAAAGTACTCACTTAACTTACTATTTCACAGAGCAATATGAAGCTACCACAGGAAAAAAAAAGAAAAAAGATACAATTCCCATTTCGCTCTCGTCCTTTAATTGCATATTAAAGACAGAAAGTGGGTCCAGCCGATTAAAATGTCACTACTTTGTCACTTTCCTTTCTCGAGCGGCGGATCCACTATTAGCCTCACGTCGCGGCCTTCAGAGTAAATGACTGTTTGAAGGCAGCGGGGGCCTGCTGCCATATGGCAAAAGACAGCGACAGAATTGAACAAACAGAGGAGATTTGCGAAAACAAAGCAGCAGGAGAGCGTCATTAGACAGCAGTTGTCCACGAGAGAGACTGCAATCCAAACAGGCAGAGGGGTCACACAGAGAGTAACAAAGTGTGAGGATCAGTGTGAGGGCTGCCATAGTTAATTCTTACACCACTCTTTCCCCTCTAGCTACAGAGCAGAGGCAGCCGTCAAACACAGCTTCAGCTGAAGAACCGTCCACAACCAGCACTTAGTCCTTTCCTGTTCTTCTAGTGTCTGTGGGGTAATGGGTGGGATACGTTTTTAGATAATGTGACGCTCGGTGTGTCTAAAGTCAGGGCTGGGTCTCTGTTTGGGGGGGGGCACATTTTAGGGAGTGTGAATGTGGGAAGTTTGGAAAAACTGTGAATTTAGAACAGGAATAAAGCTGCAGCAGTAGTCAGGTCATTGAAGGGATACTCAAGGTCAAAGGTCAGTGTATTATACTGTAGTTAGTCAGGACAACAGTCCATTAAGCTAATATATTCATAATGACATGTTGGTTTTTTTTTCAAAACAACAAAAAGAAAATTTTATATTAAATGAGACAACATGACATGATCGAATAAAACAAAACAAAGTAACAATTAAATAAATATATATATATATACCTAAATATAAATATACTTATACAAATGCCTTTTGTTAATTGCCACAAATATTGTTGTCAATACAAATAGCTTCATCTGATCCATTAACTTCATAGTAAAGAATTGTCAAATAATCCGTTTTCCGGTCCATGTCAACTTGTTGCCACTACGTGTCGACCTGTTAACACACAACATGCCCTCGTGCGATGTGTGTTATTGGGTAACTCCTCACACAGAGGTGTTTGATTAGGAACAGGTGGTTTGTAAGTTCCAGCACATCAACCAGAAGTAGGCCAATATAAGCAGGTTGACTGTTTGAGTTCACTGTTCACGACTAGAATCCTTCCTCCCCAAATACTACAGTATAGCTAATTTTAAATCATCAGTTGCCACTGAAGTATCTGGGTTATGGTGTCACACCCCTCCACGTTTGAGGATTTATATGTTACTGCTTGAAAAGGCACCTCCGGCCTGATAAAGCATAATGTGTCGGCGACCCGCAGCACATTAGCTCATCTCATCACATTTATGAGTCATTGCTACTGATATCACTACTGATTAGATGGAGTCGAGCGCCGCCCTGGCTCTTGTTGTCGTTGCCTGATTGTTTCTTTCTGTTTCCTCCTCTCCTGAAGGAAATTGGCCAAGAAGCGTAAGGAGACGCTGAACAGCACCCGCCAGGAAATGACAGTGATGGTTAACTCCATGGACAAAAGCTACACGGAGCAGGGCACCAACTGTGACGAGGCTCTGTCCTTCATGGACACGCACAACCACACGCTGACCACCCGCAGCGAGTGTGCGCTGACGCTGACCACGCGCAGCGAGTGTGCGCTCACTTTAAACGGCCGAGGTAAGACACTGGCCACAGAATTACAAACTCACCAGATGCTGAGAGTCTGGTTTTTGTACGTAAACACCAACAGGGTTTTCCATGTTGTCCTGTTTTCATTCAAGACGTATTGAAAACACTGAACGTCTCGTCATAAAACAGAACCGTAAACCTGCTCTGTTCTGCACTGACGCTCCGTTTCCCAAGAAAACACAGATTCTTCATTTGTCTGCAGCTCAGCAGAGGACATGACCTTGTGTAATCCCAGACAAAAACCATCAGATTAAAACTGAACAGCAGCAACCTTCTGAACTCTCGTGAGTGGAATGAGCCCCAACAGACGTTTCTTCATTTTTATCAGCGGTCTGTTTGCGTGAACGTTCAAATCTGAGAGTGTGGAAATGCTTTCCTTAATTTTCCGCCTGTCGCTGCTGAAGGTCTTCATTTCCAGCCTCCGACGTCTGACATGTACAACTCAACTGTGTGTCACTCAACACTGGAATCTGGTGTCAAAATGTTCAGACTGAAGACACTGCACTCCTAATCCACACACGCCACTGACATGATACAGTACATGCAGTATTACTGCAGTAATCTGCTCTGCTACAGCAGTGGCAGCATTAGAAAATACTACGTTATTACTACTGTTTTACTGTAACAGTCCATCAACTTCTCAGGAACTCACACTTATCCATGAGGTGTCAAAAATATTGACACCTTACCATCCAGTTGGTGTGAACGCACTTTTTAATGATTACAATCAGACAAATTAGTATTTTAATAATTGTTTATTTAACTACTTCGACCACCGTTCCGTCCTTGTCTTCTGCAGCTGGATCTTCACCGTCCTCCCTCACTTTGCCCAAAGCCAACACCCTCAGCACCTCCATGCCCACCAACTCCTACTACCCAGGTAAGATACATTTCCTCTTCCTCTTCCTATGACATGTTCCTTTATAGAGATTCTTGTCAAAAAGTTGTTTTTTTCTTTTTCTTTTTGGCGTCTTTATTTACCTCCACTCTCTTTTTTCCTTCTCCCATCTGTAAACGTGGGACATGAGCAGATCCCTTTGTGCCGACTGCTATCTTAGGTGAGAAACATTTTTCCTGTTTTCATTACCTGTCACTTGAATACAACAAATTGACAGTGTGTTACAATTTGTAGGACTTAACTGTTAGGACAAAACAGTAGCACATACCTGTTTTCCATTCTCTAGTTTTGTTGGCTTGTTTTCTCAAAGATGGCTTCCTCACCTTCATACCTGCCTGCTGCGTCCCTCCCCCCTCTTCCTACCACTCCCGAACCTTCCCTCCATTTTCCCCTCCTCTCATTCTCCCCGTCCCTCCCCCCGTCAAACCAAAGGTTCTTACCTTGGCTCAGGCTGGCTTTCACTCCATCCCATCCGCATTGCGTGTCGTGCGTGTGATGTCACATACGTATCTGACCTCTCAAATGCATGGACAGACCTGTGGACTGGATGTTGGGGGTGGGGGTGGGGGACAGTTTTGGGGAGGTGTCCCGTGCTAAGGCTGCAGAGTGCTGCGCCGAGACCATGGTACAGTAATCAGTGTGAGCGGAGACGAGCGGCAGCTGCTGTCGTGGCAGCACTCAATAGTTTTCTTTTTAAAGTGTGTTTGGTCTGAACATGCAGAGTCTGGCCCTACACTCCCCTCCCCTCCCCTCCTCTCCCCCAGTATGTAAAAAGCTGCCGTCAGGATAATTGTGGGATTTCCCTGAACAAGTGCAGGAGCAGGTGGATGGCTAACTGCTAGTGACCCACTTGTTTTTGTTTTGTGATTTTCCCGGTGTTTTTCAAGTTACTCGGTGATAAAATAGAATTTTAAATAGCATTTTGTTTTTTACCGACCGTCGTGGGCTTCACGGAGCAGATTCAAGTGCAGCATCTTACAGGAGCAGATGCTCTGCAGCAGGAGAGCACATAAAGCAGCCTCTAAGTGGGGGCACTCAGTGTAATACTGGAACAGTTAGGGGCGAGAGGAAAGAAACGCGATAGTCCAAATAGGAGCAGGTTTTGAGTACACAACTCACAGCTACAGTCGCAGTAGCATCGTACTGTATAACGAGGAGCGATGTCTTTCATCATTGCCGCTGTGACATCTGGGTGCGTTAGTTCCACTTTTAATGAAGCATGAAACAATTAACATGAAATTACAGCAGGAGGGAAAGGTTACATGCTCTCCGTTGTGACACATCCAGTCACGGCACCGTCTCATTAGACGAGGCTCACCATCAAATCTGATTAGATCACAGAGAATTGGTAATGTTTTTGATCCCGTCACTCCTTCCCCTAAAATATATAAAAAGACAGTCATAAACACAGGGCAGGTGTGTAGAATTGCAGATAAAATAAAATCGAAACGTCAGCATAATTAAAACAATCCACATTATTTCAACTTTCAAGTTGAAAATCTGAAACTACGAGCGCTTGTTTTCAAAGACGACCCGTATTCCGCCATTACTCCCCTCCCTTCAATTTCATGACTTTCTTTTCTGTTCTTTTACTTTTCTTTTGCACTGTTGAAATTGCCCCATCCATCCACTTGACATCCCCCCCTTGAAGGCAGTGTGGACTGAGGAGGCATGTGATCTTGCCCTGTAGCGTAGCTCTAGAACAGTCTACTGTACCAGGTTCTCTTGCTGTATTTGTTGCTTATCCCTTCTCTCCTCTCTCTTCTCCTCTTTCTCTTGACATACACTTATCTATCTGCTATCTAAAAAGTGCCCATTAATGGTAAGTTTCCCCAAGTGGGCCCTGGGTTGGGGGAAGGAGGTGGTGTTTACTCAGCCCACAGTGAGAGGCTGCTCCTGACATGGACATTACAACATTAACTTGTTGCATGACCAGTGGACATGTTAGCATTTCACCACCCTTCGTTGCGTGCCACCATTAGCCTAGCATGGTCCAAACGCATACAGTGCCCCATGGCAGCATCACTCATGCATCCTCCTCCCATCTCCACTCCCCTCCAGGGCTGTTTTCCAATTTTGTTTCAAGGTTTTTCTCTTCTTTTTTTGTTTTAATATTATTCAGGAGGGAGAATGGGTGGCAGGGTTTGACTCCATGCTGTGTCTTTGTGATGCTTTTGACCGTGCCTGCTGTGGCCCCACCGCACCCCCACATCCTCCTCCTCATGTTTCTGGACACCCTCCATTATCTGTTTGCCCCATGCCTCATGTCTGCCACTGAATTGATACTAGTGTGAGAGAGCAGTAGGAGCAGCAGCAGCAGCCTGCACCAGACCAGAGTAGTTTTACCTCCAGTCAGAGAACAAAGTACACGTGTTGTTTTACAGTGTCCTCAGGTGGGCTCCCTTTTTACAGTTTACATCTGTGCTGATGTTTTCTCCATTCGCAAAGATGAAAACATGTGTGATGAGAGCTGAGAGCCTTTTGGCTCTGACGAGGGAAACACCAATACCAATATCAGTAGTACTTAAAAAAAATCCAATTACCAATATCAGTAGTACTTAAAAAAAAACGTGCCAATCCAGTGACCCAATACTCCGTACAGTTTTTCACAGTGTTACATTTTTTTCTTCTGTAGTCCAGCGTCTTATTTAAGAAGGTCAACAATGTCAGCAGTTTGGAGGGATTCGAACCTCAGGGACAAAGACAGGAGCACGACTTGTTAAAAGATTTGTTCTGTTACGATACGACCTGAAGGCCTCTGATACTCCAGAGACAGACGGATCTGGACCTTCTCACCACATGACTCATCCTCTTACTCAGTGGTGTTGTGTTGTTATGACCATCCACAACAAACAGATTAGTCCAGAGTTGTTTGTCAGTCCAGTGTGGTGACATAATGCTTAGCAGTAAATGAGATACAGCGCCATCTGTCAATGGAAACACCTGGTCGAACATTGACTTAACTTGATACGTTGGAACTTTTTGCCCATGACTTTAACCATTAAAATACTGCTATCATTTACTGACACAAGCATCATGTTACCTGTACTGTATGTGTCGTAGGACCAGTAAGTGTCATGAAGTCATTTCTTACCCGTCTTATCTAACCTGTCCTGCTCTGTCTCTGTTTTCTTTTTCTTTTTTTCTTGTGTTTGTGTTGTTTACCTGTAGATGAGAGCCAGAACATGGGCAGCGACACCAGCAGCCTGGTGCAGTCTCACACTCACTCTCTGAGGAAGCGGGAGCCGGTCGACGTCCCGTATCAGACGGGGCAGCTGCACCCGGCCATTCGTGTGGCCGACCTCCTCCAGCACATCACTCAGATGAAGTGTGCTGAGGGCTACGGCTTCAAGGAGGAGTACGAGGTAAGACGCCCCCTCCTTGACCTCCTTGACCTCCTGCCCTCTGTGTGACAGTTACAGACACAAATGAAGGCCTTGCTGATGGACCTAACCCTAGCCTGCTGTGTTTGGATTTGTAAAAATGGAATGTTGGTCAAACTGGAGGCTTCATCTGTGTCTGTCTGTCTCTGTTTTGCACAACTGTTGTTTTCCCTCTCCGTGTACTTCCATGATAAATACTTAATATCCCAGTGTACTTACGGTGGGGTTCGTTTTGTTGCTCATCTGTTTCGCTGTTGTTTCAGGGGTTCGTTTTGTTGCTCATCTGTTTCACTGTTGTTTCGCCGTGACTGTGCATTTTCGTGGCCCTCAGAGCGGTCGACCGCGTGTTAGCCCGCGTTCCCGCCTTTATCTGTACCACGTCCGATTAGGCGGCGGTGACGACAGCCCCGCTGCTCTCTGAAGACTGTTGTCACACAACAGCAGTAATTTGACACCATGCCTCACGCTGATACCAAAACAAAGGATCTCTCCCCAGAAGAGCATCACTCTCATTTTCTCTCATTAGTGTGGGAGGCTGGCAGGACTTGGCGGTGCTCCAGTCTCCTCGCCATCCCTCAGCACCACGGCAGACACACTCCTCCAACCCTGCTCCCAGACTTCTAAAAGCCATTGTTATTTAATTTCCTATGCATATCATCTCTTTATCTTTTATATTTTTGACTCCTGCCTCCGTGCCGACACTTATTTACACTTGCATCAGGATGAGACGCCACTAATGTCATTCTGTGAGACTTTCATTTCTCTCTCCTCGTCTCTTATTAGCGTGTGTCCTTCACCGCATATTAGGTCTTTGGTTCCTCACTTCTTACTTGACGGTGACTCACTTATCCACACTGTCCACGGCCCCTTCCTCACACCTTCTCCTCCACCTAGTTAAGCTATACCTGGGTAGTTACCTCCCTTCTTGCCCTGTAGAACTGTGGAGTTTAATAATGCAGCCTCCCACTGCCATCTGCAGCATCAGATCATTGAAGGGAGCGCTCTGGGCTGCCCTCTGGGCCTGATCCATTATGGATAAAGGTGTTTTGGGGCCACTAGCCCCCACCCCCCCCACACAAACACCTAACTGTCATTCCCGTGTGTCACCTGGCCGTCCGCAGCCTGTGGGATGCTGGGGTGTGTAACAGAGCTGGTTCATCTGTGTGTTGTGCTTCTGTCTCCTCTACATCAACCCGTCTAATGGTTAATGCCCTTTTTAATCCATGTTTCTGTGCCTTGGAGCCGAGTGCCCTGTAAAGCTGTTGACTTACACTGTACTATATCTCTCTTTGACCCATGCTTCTTGTTATTCTGTACATTAACTTTGGATCAGATAAACGAGGTAAGACAATCATTTTAGTATGTTTGTAAGATTTTCTTGTTTTGTCCGGGGGTGTTTTTGTAGGTTGTAGAACATTTTACAACCATGACAGATTAATGGTGCTTGTTGACTGTTTTTAAGGCCCCATGTGACCTAATCTGAAAAAGGCATTCACCAAGTTACTTCAGGAAATCATCGTTAAGTCCACAGGCCACAAATTGAAAAAGTGATAAGAATGATTATCTACCATTTCAGCTTCTTAACTTCCATGAAGCTCTGTGTGTGATTCACTCTCAAATTTTTGAGTTCTGGTTCACATATGATTTTACTCCTAATTAACAAACAGAAGGCAGAAAAAACTTTCAACTGCATCAAGTAAATTTGTCATTGTGACTCACATGTTCCCAGCTTGTGCCACGTGAGTGTCAGTGTCATTACACCTGTTGTGTTCTATCTAGGAACGAGTTCTTAGATAAAATGTTACAACATTTACACTTAACTGGATTCCATTTTTGGGGGAATAAAAACAACAAACCTATATTTTTATGTACATAGGACAATCACTAAGAAAAGAGAGTGTGATGTCAGTCAGACAGGGTCCGACACAAACAGACACTCATTTATCTCCAACTGTTCAATATTAGACCTTTAACCTTCAGAGACGCTGAGACGATGACACTGGCCTCTGCATCTACTCAGCTGCCACAGGATGAGACCACGGGTATATGTCAGACATTCCTCCGTCTTTTCAGAGAGGACGGGACATATTTCCAGCTTCTCTGTTGAAATCACTAATCCAGAGGACCTAATATAGGAGTGTGTCCTTGTGAGGTGTCTGAAAGGCTTTTTTGGAGAGACAAATGGCCTCCTGCTCACCGTACTGCTGAGATGAATGAACCATCAAGGCCTAGACCAGTGATGATTGAAGACAGAGCAACTAGGACTCTCAAAATGTCTACGCTGACTAAAAGAAAAGTCTCCAAGCAATTATCTTTAACCTTCAGTACTCCCTCTCAGAACCCTGATTACAGATGGACTGCATGTCAATACTGTACGTTAGCTGCGTTTTGGAGGGACGCGTCGAAACGACAACAACACGTTTTGTCCCGACCAGTGGCTGTGGAGCTGTGGAGCTGTGGAGCCAGCAGCACTCCCTGAACAGCGGTGGACTGGCAGTTGAGATGTATTTTTATAATTTGGCTTAATTGTGCCTGGTGCGCCATCAGAATGGAAATCTCCCCAGCAAGTGATGATAAATATTTCATGAGTGTAATCTGAGCAGAGCAGGTTTGATGTGTAGACGATGAGCTGGCTTTATTTTATTTTTTTTATTTTTGTCTCACACCGGGCTGATTGAGTCTTTCAGATGAGGCAGACTGACAGCCGCCGCAGTGGTTCTGCCCGGCAGAGGGTTGGGGGGGGGGGGGGGGG